GAAGCTCACACACTCCACTGGAGTTGTAGTATCTCCTTACCTTCCTTCACATAAACACTAGGTCTGGTACTGAACAGGGGAGCAGCACCTCTCCAGGGTGACATTGTGCTTCTGGTTTTCACACAACAGAGTCTCAGACTCTGCACTGGGATCTGATTGTCCTTTGTATAAAGGCACATATGTATTTACAAATATATCACATTGGGACTCAGATAAAGACATCTTGTTCTTCTGTGTTAAGGCCAAACTGTGAAAGATCACTCACATCACTTTGTTTCCTCTGACTACATAGAAGAGCTGTGCACAAAACCACAGGAGTACACAGGAAGAGATACATTGTCTTGAATCTGACATAAGCCAGAATATGTTCCTTATTCCCTGCAGAATACTATACAAGTATCAACAAGCATCCTGTTTTGAGACTTAAAATGGTTTTGACATATTTCTGTGCTGGTTTTATATGTATCTGCCAACATTGTATGCCAAACAGTCTTCACTTTTTATAACTTTATTCCAACATAATTTCTCTCAGAACCAAAATTATGATTTTTTTACTCATTTGGCTAGTCATAAATGAATAAAAAACTTTGTTAAACAATCTTACCTGCCCTATCAAAAATTATACTGCAGAAGAAAGTTTGGAAACAGTGTGGATATAATGCTTTTGACTGTTTAAATGAAGTTGTTCTATTTTTATTATAAATTCTAAATAAGGCCAAAGGAATTTGTAGGGTATTTCTAACCAGCTACCTGTCCAGTAAGGATGACACAGAAAAGCCATGTGAGGACTTAATAATGGCAAGAGTGAAATACATAAGTTCAATTCTGATCCTTCACTGAAGACTCAAAGGTCACAGCTCAAAAAACGTGAAAAGTTTTGCTTATTCTGGGAGTTCTGTACTTGCTGCAGCACTTCATCATAGCTCCTCCATGAGCACTACCCCCCCATCCAGCTCGGCTTGGGGCCTGGTGGACAAGTAACTCCTAGGGGGATGAAGGTTTCAGCTCCTTCAGGAGCTTATCTAGATGCAACTCAGGAAAGGGACTACATGGAGTTGGAAATGAATTGAATCTGGGCTGTCATTTTTGGGGACAAATATGCAGAGCAGTCAACAGGACCTCCTGCCTCTCCTGAGGTCATACTTCAAGAGGAATGGCCACTGCACCTTCTCTTTCCATTTGGGATCATAACTGGAAAGGGTTGGTGTGATCCAAGTGCAGATTTCTGACCTGCCACTGCTTGTTTCCCAGTTGCACCTAGGTAGCTCATTAGTCAGCCTAAAGGGCTTTTCAGCCTGAATCAGCCTTTCAAAAAGCACCAAGAGCTGCTGAACCTAAAGCCACAAACAGGCTTTTGATCTGGATGTTTGTTTTTCTTTAAATGGATCTGAATCTGAGATGTAACCCACATTCTCTAGACACACAGAAAAGTGTGACAGTAAAGTTCTTGCTGGTTGTTATGCTTCAGTGCCCTCTTTCCACTCCAAAGTCAAGAGGCTTAGAGAGCTAATGCACAGGTATCAAAAGCTGAACCATGACCGTCAGAACAGTAGGAGCGGTTTACAACATACCTGATAGTCAGTGCAATTAGGAACTGAAGCACCCATTAGCAATCAGAAAATGGACAAATTAGTTTGTACCTGCACAAGCTAAAAATGTTACCATTTAAATACTACTTTTTAATGTTTTGGGGTTTTTTTTCCCCCACCTTTATTCTTAGGGTTGATATTCTCCCACTCTTCTCCTTACTCTGGGATTGCAGGTTTGTTTATAGAGGTCCAGTACTATCCTCTCTCAACAAGACACATCTGATGCCTGTTTAGTCAGGGGTAAAAATCTAATGTTTTTAGCCCAAATCAACTCAGACAAAAGCAACAGCATCTGGCTTCCAGTTCATTCTTGATGTTGATCATCAGTGATGGCTGTCAAACGTCTACATTTTTTTTCCTCTCACAAAGATTATTCAGTGTCCTTTTGCTACATCCTCCCACTCACGTTTAAATATTTGTTGTCTTCATCTAAGAAGCAACAGAGTTTCTAAAGAACAGCAGAATTTTTACAGCTGAAATATTTCATGCAGCTCAATCCACAGGGCATTAATTGTTTCTGGTTTCCAGATGAAACACTGTGAATTTTAAAGTACCACACATAATGTGAATGTTTCCAGCAAATCAGACATTACAGGTTCACTTGCTATCTGTGCTCCTGTACTTAAATGACTTGACCTTCTCCTGCTAGTTGGACTAATGAACAGGTCTTATGGCAGCTACTTTGTCTTGGCATGGTCAGTTCCCTTCTGATTGTATTTGGATTGGGAATTCTCGGGGACAGGAGATTTCTCACTGTCAAAACCACATGATTTAAAGCAGTTGAGAAGTGGTAAAATGAAAGAAACAGGAGAAGGAATCTTTATCTTTGTGAAACTTTTGACTGCCATGGTAAACATACTTTTAGGGTATGTTTTCAGCAAAGCATGTAAATTAACACTGGAAAGTACTTCCTTGTGAGTAAGGCCAGCCAGGAATATGTCCACACCAGCCAAGCTCCATTTGAAATCAGATTTGCAGCATCTCAGTTCCCTAATGAAAACAAGATGAGTTCCTTCTCATGGTTTTCTGTATGTCTAATTCAGCAAGTGAATATTCCAGAATATTCACCTTTCTTGCCCCTGCCCCTGTCATAACACCTTCACAGAACTGGAATATTCCTTTTGTAAGAATGTAGGTAATTGTTAAATTTTATTTTTTTTTTTTTTTACAAATCTAAACAATCCTATGATCTGTCTCCTCGCTGCCAAAACTGTGCTATTCCCTGCCCATGTTCTGCTTACCATGCCATGAGATTTTTCAGATCTGCAAAGCTGTATTTGTTCTGCAGGTGACATATACGAGCAATTCTTAAATTCCTGCATGCATTGTCTCAAATCCCCTGCAGTAGAAACCACACATATTGCAGTTTTATTACTTTGCCCAAACCCACTAAAAGACTAAAATGCATGTTCCCATTTGCTGTGAGTGTTACAGATTCTTTTTAAATAATTCTTTCTGGTATGAATGTCCACTAAAGAAAAGAGGAAAAAACAAAACCACAAAAAGCCCAAACATCGAAAATATAAAGATAGCCATTGAAATCACTTTCAATAGCCTGCTCTAAAAGGTTACATGAAGTAATATGAATAATATTACAAGAAGTAACCTTACAGCGGTCACATATTATCACAAAAGGAAAATAGGTTTAAGTTTCATGATTTAAGGGAGGGGCGGGTGTGCATAAGGACGAGAGGAAAGTGCAGGCCTGACTCAATGGCTGAGGGGAGGGAAGGGTGAGGGAGGCCCAGCAGCTGCCTGAGGGCAGTGAAGGAGATGAAATGTCACTAGATGGCACTCGGGCTGCAGCACAGCGCTGTCCCCGCAGAGATCCCAGCAAACACACAAAATATTCGGGAACTGGAAGATTTAAAGGTGTCGGAGGTCCTGTGCCACAGCACCTGAGGCGGCCAGGCCATGGGGCTGAAGGTGACGCCGGGTCCCGGCACGGTGACCTGCTCATGACAAGGGGAGATCGTTTTTTCCGTTGTAGCTTAGACATCTTTTCCTCTCTGGCCTCACCCCATAACTACCCCGAAGCTGTGAGGGAAATAAGGGATTGAGCTCCAGGTCAGTGTTAAGCAGGGGTATAATCAGAGCAGGCTACAGAAGGCAGCACTGTCACCTCTCAACAAGGGCTTGGGAAAAAAATCACAAGACAGGGCAGCCCTCAGCTCCTAAACTTTGTTTCTAAAATTAAGGGGCTCCCCCCAGTCAAACCCTCCCATCCACAAGAGCCAGTGGATCACCATGTGCAGGTACTGTTACTGTTCACCTAAACTTTGTTCACTCCTCATTGCCTGAGGAGTCCCTTTAGAAATGTGAGGAAACAAACCATTAGAACTAACCTACTTAGTACCTTCTAAAACATATGTACTGATTCTATAAGTAAGCATTAAAAGCACAGTAACTGAGCCATTAATCTTTAATAAAACTTCTGTTAAAAAAACCCCACATCTCTATTCCCTGGCAGGGAATATTACAGCTGCTCACAGCTACTAAGACCAAACATTTCCTTTTCCAGTGCAAACACTCTTGGCACTACTGGGCTGAGCCCAAAATGTCTTCGAAGCTGGATCAACAGTGTCCATGAATATTCAGGCACTAAGGAATTAGGGCAGATATCCCAGAAGCGGCAAGACCCAGTGCTGAATGGAAAGCTCTCCCAGCTTTTTGTGTTGGAAACACAACCATTAAGATGGCTTTATGCTCTAATGGGACCATTGAAGATTATGAAAGAAATAAACAACTAAAATCATTCTCTGTTGATTAAAAGAAAGTATTTCTGCTTTTTTCCCTTCTTATGCAGCCAGTAACAATGCTGCCCCTCACAGAACTGCACACACTATTGTTCAGCAGCTGCTGCTTATCCATCCCTTTGGATGAGAACTGTTGCTTTGCTCTTCCCCCTCGTGAGCAGTAATGCATGGGGACAAAGCTGGCCAGGGGTTGTTTTCTGAAGGGCTCAGGTCACAGACAGCATTTGTTCTCTCTGCCACAGCTCAGCGTGGAGCTGGGAAAGCAGGTATGACAGCCACAGATCCAGGGAGTGTGGGAGGGAAGCAGAAGAGGAGGGGCAAGCCAAGCTGCTGCTGCTCTGCCGCTGCTCTAAGCTTCCAGGGCAGCCTCATCCTCCGCTCTTCTGGCACGGACTTTTTCTCTGCCACACCAGCATCAACTGCCAAACCTGGATGTCACCTCTTGGATGACACAAATTCCTCAACTCCTTTGTTTGCCAGTCCCTGGAATAATCTGCACCAGAGACAGAGAAAACTTGGAAGAATCATCTGAAGAAAATTACTCTTCAAAGGAAAGACACGGCATTGGAAAAGAGAAAAGTTCACCTCTGGCCACCCCTAACAAACACGGCCACACCTGTCAGAGTCAGGGCTGCAGTGACTGTTCCTTGCCTGGCTCCATGGAGGAGCAGGAAAACAACTTTGTGCTTTCCCTTGAAGCCAACACCAGCAGCAGGTGCAGCCTTGAGACCAACCAAACAGAGGCCCCAATGTGCTGGGCAGGAGCAACCAGGGGTGGCCCAGAGGTGGTGATTGTACCGGTGCTTTTTGGGTTGATTTTTCTCCTGGGAATGGTGGGAAACACGTTAGTGTTGGTTGTTTTGGGGCGTCTCCGGCCTGGGGGACGCCCATCACGCAGTGCCACCAATATCTTCATCCTGAACTTAAGCATTGCAGACTTCTCCTTTCTGCTCTTCTGCGTTCCCTTCCAGGCCACCATCTACTCCCTGCCAGAGTGGATCTTCGGTGCCTTCTTTTGCAAGTGGGTTCACTACTTGGCCATGGCTACAATGCTGGTCAGCATTTTCACTCTGGTGGCCATGTCTGTGGACAGATACATTGCTGTGGTCCATGCCAAACGCTCGCCCTGCATCCGCAGCAAGCGCAATGCTGCCCTCGGCGTGGCTGTCATCTGGCTGCTGTCTCTCCTCATTGCCATCCCTGTGGCCCAGCACCAGGCCCTCATGAGTGGCCATCAGCAAGCACCCAACAGCTCTTTCTGCTGGGAGCACTGGGCAAACGGTTCCACAGCCAAACAGATGTACAAGATTACCATCCTGCTGGTGGGATACCTCCTGCCCCTGCTGCTCATCACCTGCTGCTATGCCAAGGTGGGTGCCAGGGATGGGAATAATGTTTAAATGGAGTGAAAGATCCCAGACTCCTGGTGGCTTGTGTGTGCACACAGCTACACAGCCAAATAACTGATCCAACCCTTTCCATATCCTCTCCTGGTAGAGAATACTTTTTTGAGGTGGGGGAGGGAAGGAAAACAGAGAATGACATTGCACAAAAAGGATTACAACTACCAAGATGACACCCAGCCTGACACCCCAACCCCCTGAAGATTCTTGCTGTTTTTCATATTTTTCATTTTGTTCTCTCTAAGTAACAAATGTTTGCTACTGGCAAGAGAGAAAGCCTACGGAGGTATAAACATTTCCAGGTTATTGCTGTGCTGTAATCAGGTTTCATAAGCTAGATCTAGATGTTGCTAATTGAGAATTGCCTACAGTGATCCAAGACCCCTTATGACCCTTTTTCTGGAGGGTGACCGATTCCTACCACTGCATTTGTTTGTGCTGCCTTCAGGAGTGGCAGGACAGTCCCACCAGGGTACAGGACTGGCAGCCTGCTCTCTGCCCATGTGTATCATCAGCCTAGAGAATAAATGAAGACAATCTGAGGCTCAATATAAAATTCAAAGTCCATCTGAAAACTCCTGTGGATTTCAGCATAGTGCCAACTGAGCTCTTAATATATGTTGAACTACAGAAAGCTTAGCAGGTTTAATGCTTTTTCCAAACCTTGTTTCTTGAATGTGGAGAACTTAGAATTAAAAGTCTGAAAGCATCAAATTCATCTTTGAAGTAATGTTAAAACGATTACTTTAAATTTTTGTGCTTGTATAAGGAGTTCAAGTATTAATACATAAATTTCAATTTCCCATTCAATATATTGTTCCTTTTTCCCCCCCAAGGTTTTATACCATCTCCATACGAAAGTAAAGAACATTTCCAAGAAGTCAGAGAGATCAAAGAAGAAGGTAAATGTCTTTGGTTTAATCTGTACATTGACTATAATACAATAGATGTGCCAGGTTTATAAAGCAATCAGCCTGGTCTGTGCTGATTCCAGTTAATTTAGAGAGTTACAGTTTCTGCCAGTCTTTTTTGCCTATGAATCCTAACCAGATTTAACTGTAGATTATATGTTGTTTCTACTGGTTCATTACATTCACTAGCATACACTCAGTTTTGTTTGCAATATACTTATGAGTATCAAATGCATAATTGGTCTTGCACCTACACTGTCTGTAAGGATAAAACTCAACTGGTGTTTTCAGTATTATCTCATAACACGATAACTGTAGAAGTTATAATACACCACAAACAACATTTACTATATGGGTGTTACTTCCCCTTTCCCCTCAGAGTGTTTTTGAACATGTTTTCTGTGCTCATCTAACCTTAAGTAGGTTCTGATAAACGTTCTTTTAATCACCTTTTCTAAGGCAGCACATTATGCAGCAATGAGCTGCTGTGTATTGCCGGCTGCAGGAACACCACCCAACCTCGATGGAACAGACTATGTTGAAAAACACCGTGTCTTGTTTTGCCTATTGACATTTTGATGGATGCTGCTGCTGTTGCAGATAAACTGTGAATCAAAATGTCAAAACCAAGAGTATAATTTCTGGATCAATAGTGCAAACTACAAACAGAAAGCAGAGTCAGAGTTTTGTGTGTTTAACAGCTACCATGAGAAAAGGCAACCATGATGTGTTGACAATTTTGATACTGTAAAATGCAGCAAATAAAGTGCTAAGAAGCACTGTCGTTCCACATAGAATGATTTCACAATTTCACAAGTTTGAAAAGTTGCTTTAGATCATCAACAAATCCCTAAACTGGTTGGTTTAAATTTCTCTTCAGAATTTTCTTACCTATGTATGAATGGCACACTACCTATTTTGTTGCTAATTTTTAAGAGAATGCTACCAACAGTTGAAAATATCTACTGTTACTTTTCTAGAAAGAAGTTAAGAATTTAATTTATGACACTTTTTGAAATGTATCCACTTGTGTTGTTTTCAGATTTGCTCTGTGGAGTTGGATGAAAAAATAGCTCTACAGTTTCTTCAACCTTGACTTTTGTTATTAGATATTGCCAAGAGGATCAATCTTTAAAAAACACTTTTGATTTTACCTGTTAAAATAAGTTAGTGGTACAGCATTTCTTCCTCCCTTCCTCCCATTAAGTATTTCCCTGGCCATAATTATGAAACACCCAGTAGCAATTCTTGTTCCATGTGGCACAGTTAGGCGTAGTTAAATAGATGATCCTTTCAGATGAAAGAAAAAGCAAATATATTCCTCTACACACACACACACCATCCTTCACAATATGTCTTCTTCCAGCACTGCCTGTGTAGAAATTGTCCATCTAGCCTTCCTGCATGCCAGACATCTTCTTAAGTGTACTTACTTCAAGTATTTTTTGTTGCAAACACTACTCAGTATTTCTTAGGGAGACTTCCTTGGGTCGGTTGCAGACACACTCAATTCCTGCATAGGCTTTCAAAGCATACTTGAAACACAAGAGTGAAAGTCAGTCTTTTAAAGCACATCTTCTTAAGAACACTTCACACTAGAGCCTGATAGGAAACCCGTAGATGCCTGCCAGTTCTGTTAATCTAGCTTCCTTCATATGTACTTAGTTGGTCCATTTGTGAAAGTAGCTGTGTTTGGTTTTAAATCATAAACTTCATCAGAGATTAAGTGAACAGCTTTTGCTTATTTAATTGAAAGATGTTTGACAAATGAATCTTGATTCACGTTTGGAAGGTTAATTTAGTATATACAGAGCTCTGAGTTTGTTCTGAAATATGTGTGACTTCAGTGGCTAAACCCTGATTGCCTTGAGCTGTGAGAGAAAGTGTAGCACACCAGCCAAGTCTTCCCACATGAGGTGATAAAATTGTCTGAGTCACATTTATTAATTCACAGTGTGTGTCTTCACCAAACTGATATGGCAAACAAGGTGTCATATTCACAGAAAAGAGAATTGTCTGAAACTATGACCATGCAATTCCTGCTTATTCCTATAATTTCAAGAAAACAGGGCATTTGAGCTACTATTCTCCTTCTACCTCCAAGAGAACAGAACAGGGATTGGATTTGCTTTTTTTGTTTTTTTTTCCCTTTGGGTTTGGTTTGAGTTTTTTTCCATTTAGTTTGTAGGTTTGGTGTTGTTTTGTTTTTAAACAGTTAAAAAGTAAATTTTGCAAGCAGCTTTCTGTTCAAATCTCCCAATGCTCATCTGGGCTCCATACATGAGTAAAGGTCTCAAAAGAATCAAATTGCAGACTCAGAGTCCTTGTTGAACAAGATTTTCCAGTGAAACAGTTTCCAACATTACCACTGCAAACAGTTTGCTCTGTCACTCAGCATTTCAGAAGCTGTAAGAACTCTCCTCAAGATTAAACACTTCAAAACATATAAAACATAGTTAAGAAAGAAATCAAAGCCACAGAGCTCAGGGAACGGTCTTGCCATGAGCAGCGTTCCACATGCTGATTGGAAACACATTGCTATTATTCTCCATTATAGGCTGCTTCTGAAAAAATAGTATTACCAGGTAAGATTTTTTTAAAATATCAAGATTTCTGGATCTTTAGCTTTCATTGACCTTGCTGGAGACTTGGTGTAACACCAGTCCCTTCACCCCCAGATCCTGTGACACTGATCACAGGCAGAAGAGACATCATTCTTACTGACATAGTTTGAGCCATAGAACACAGAAATGCAGTAAGAAGCATTACTGGGACAAATCCAAATGAAAGCTACCTGAAAGGTCATAGAGGAGCTGGTACTTTATCTGCTATTAGTAAATCTGGAAACAGCATGTGAACCTCAGTAAGACAAACATTTACAGAACAATTGTGACATTGCTGGATCCAGACCTAAGGTGATTTTTAAAGAGATGATGATGGCACAGCTAAATGAACTATCCCAGTGCTGTGCAAGTACATGCATGACTTTCCTAGCTGCATTGCTGTAGCAAAGAAAGCAAAGTAATTCTGGATTTAACTGACTCTGAATATGTGAATATGGAGCCCAGGTTCTTGGTACTGTAGCTGAACCTCCCCCTTTAAAGATTGTACTGCATCAGTAATTTGTATCTATGCCTTTAAAATGAAAAAAAAAAATAAAAATTAAGACCTTTTCCTTTAAATAAATCAAACCCATGGGAACAGGACACAAAGCATAATGAACTACAGTATTAGGAATTTGTTTTTCCAAGAAGTCTCTTGTTTGATTCTCTACCCCTTTCTGCCTTTGTGTAACACAGCATGGTTCCCAGTGCCTGCTCCCTCCAGCTGCGCTCCGTTCCCTCCCTGGTGTGTGCTGCCTGCTCCTAGCAGAGCAGCACCAGCTGCCCAGGGCCCTGCAGAGCTGCACGAGCAGATGAGGCTGTGATAACTCTGTCTGTTATCACAGCATGGAAATGAAACCCAGTTAAAACAGTGGTAGAGTTTTGGTTATCCACACGGTTAAGAGGAGCTCTGACACATACGCCTACAGAGTGGCACTGCCACTCATTTCCTCTCAAGAGGATCTTGTCAAAAAGTTCCCACTGGTATATGAAGCATCTTCTCTAAATAGAAGTCTCTAACACCAGGCTTCACTTCAGCAGGATCTGAAGATCCAGCTGTTGTCTCCCAGACCACAGTGCCACAAGATACAGCCGGGGTTTCAGCATGGATTTTATTCCCTGCACAATGTTTGCAAAGTCACTTTTCCCTTCTCTTCCATTACAGGTTATCTTCCTGCTGTCTGTCACTGTCCCATTTGCCACAACATTGTACTCAAAGTCTGTTATTTGAAGTCATGTAGGGGCTAAAATGGCAGCTTAAGAGGGCCCTGTTTTTTAGGATTAACTACTCATGTAACTACTCATGGGCAATGTATAGACCCACTACTGTAAAGTCAGTTACAACCAGATTTTGTTTGAATGGGTCCAGTTTATGAATAATCCAGAGAGCTCTGACAGCTGTCACCCTCTCCAAGTCAGCGTTGAAACACCTGCTGAAAAGAACAAGTTTGTCTTTAGCAGAATCCTACAAATGACATACAGGCACATATCACAAAAAAAAAAAAAAAAAAAAAAAAAAAAAAAAAAAAAAAGTTTTGTGTCTGGGTTACGATCTTTAAGTTACAGGGTGTTCATGTTCAAACTACAGCAACCTTTTCAATTTATGCACACATAAAACTTTGCAAAAATGTCCCTTGCACAAAATTTGCTGCACCTTGATTTCACATTCCATTGTCAAAAGAATTTGACTCTTAATTCAGAATCCCACTTGGAAATTTTTACATAACTTTGCCATCTACGTGACAAATGTTGGACATGATCAATGTAAATGCTTTTCCATTTACATGTATAATCTGTGCATTAGAGCAAGGAAGATGTTTAGAACTTTTTGCATTCTTGTGCTGAAATTCTTTATGGTGAACTAAGACTGTGCCTGCAGAAGAGATATGTGACTGGCTGTTTCCCCATTTAATGCCATACTAGCTGTACAAGTTTGCTATCCTTGAAAATCAGATGGTGTGATGCTGCAGGATTCGCCTTTGAAGTTCTGGATAATTGTTTTTGAGGCCAGCCAGCAAGACCACATGCTAAGAAATCTTGTGCACCCCTCTATCACAATTAAGTATTCAGTCCTATTGCCTCTTTTCTGAACTATGCAGAGTACAGCAAGTCTGTAATTTGGCTCCAAAGAAAGTTAACGATTCCCCATTTGACAGTGTTACAAAATGTTTCATAAGAGCCGAGCCCCAGGAACTCTGGTCATACATCTGCCTTAAATAAGATGATTTAATGATGTAAATGAATGCAAACTGAGGTCTAGCATGGTCCTGTGGTGTTTTACTGGCCTCTGGAGCACACCAGGATTCCTCAGTGTTTACTCAGTTCTGTCTTGTGCATCTTTAAAGAACAAATAACAAGCCTTGCAAACTGAACAATCTGAAATGTTTT